TGAGGTTATTGGTGCAATCTAGGTATACAATACAATTACATTCATCATTGGGATTCTGTACCTTTACATAATAGGTCTTGATTCTCATTTTTTCCCCTTGTCCCTGCCCTCCCTTCTCCCCCTCCTCCCCTCCCCATTTACAAACACTTTATTTCCATTTTTTCAGTTTCTCATATTTTTTTTCCTCTCCCTTATTACCTTTCCCCCACCCTTCCCACTTTCCTTACACCTTTAGCCCTTTACTTCCTATTTCATATTATTAATTGTCTCATTAGGATCCTGTGTACTATTATAGTTTTTCACACCAAAGAAACTATTCGGTATTTCAGTTAAAGAAATCTCTGTATGAACACTAAAAATAGGGAATCCTAAAATAAAACTAAAAAGGAAAGTAAAAGAGAAAAGGCAATGATGTAACATCAAAATAATCCTTAATTCTGGAGATGAAAATGGTCCCTGAACATATTTAAATTGCTTCTCGCTCTTATAGTCTTATCTTATTCTTTTTTCATTATTTAGAGAATACTTTATTAGTTTCTGTAATCAAACCCACGTAGATATGACCTTACATATTTAGTATGATGTGTTACCCCTGTACACATGGAAAAAAATAAAAATAAAAATAAAATGGTTGGATGAATCACAAGGTAGTGATTCTTGAAAGGTAGAAACTTTCTCACATCTTGTTAGACAAGCAGCAGGCAATTTAAAAATTTGATTTCTTTAGTTTTTGGAATAATAAATTTGGTCATGTTTGGGGGCATATTCATTTTCTGAGGAGAAAGAGTAGTTAAAAACTACTTAATTTCACTTGTGTTGCTCTGTTGTGGCTCATCACATTCCTGTGTTGCTCCTGCAAACCCACACACACAGACCAAAGAAGATAAAGTATGTTTATCGATAGGACACACATCCATGAATGGAAGAAATCCTAGCTGGAATAATGTCCTAGAAATGTCTATTTTCTATTGTTCTAATGTCTATTTTCTTGTATTCTTAGGGGAACCCAGCTCATTCTTTCCTATTTTATTGAATTCCTATCATTCTTGCTATGTCCATTTTGAAGTGGAATTTTTTTTCCATGAGAGAAAATAAGTCATAACAGTCATTCTCTTGTGTGAGCTAAATGCCTGCCTGGGTACAGGTTCAAAGCCACTTAGCTAAGTGACCTTTGGTCATTTTTGCAGTGTCCCATTTCTTAAGGGATTCAGTGGGTATCTCCAGGGAAAGCTGTCCTGTTTGTTTTCTCTCTTGAGGTTTCTGTTGCTGTAAAGGCTGAGCCTTGGTTAGGATGCATAGCAGATCCTTCTGGCTGGTACTACTCTACCTGGGGAATGCTTATGAATAAAGAATTTCCCCTCATCAGAAGATAGTTTCAGCTAATGTCTTGTCATTCTCTTAGAGACAATCTTAAAACTTACAAAAATGTAAGTAGTTTTTTATTAGTAACTGCAGAAAATCCTATTTAGCAATTATAAAAAGAAATCTTAAAAAAAATTCCTAACAGGCATTATTAGCATATATCTTAGTGTGGTTAACATGTTAGTATTTGTGATTAATTACTCAAGGGTTTCCGTGCACTAACGTCTTTTCTTATTGTAATTATGACAGCTTGGACTTTGCCTACAAATCCAAGGTGATAGCCTTTGCTATTGGTATATTTGGAGTTTGGTCGAATTTTGGGAGAGTTGAAGGAACAGTATTTACTCTTATCCGGGAGTTCCAGGTTCGCTGCCTCTGAATTTTCTCTAAAGGAGACAGACTTTTCTCCTATGGATGCTTTATAGCTAGTCTGCTTTGAGTACTTAGTTTCATGATAGTTGGGCTTACATTTTGCCATCCAGTTCTGAAATTCATAGACTAGAAATCATGGAATGAACAAATACCAAATAAACTTAGGAGTCATGAATGTGAAATGAAGATAAAAAAATAGAATTCATAGATTACAAACTTGGGTCTAGAATAATTCAACAAAACAAGGATGTGGGAGATATAGGGATTGATAGGGTATATTTTGTTATTAATAGCAACTAGAGACACTTTTCACTGGGTTAAGTGATCAAACCCTTAAATGATTTTGAACACCGACATACTGGTTTACATTACTGAAATATTTTAGGGTTCATTACTTTGCCCTGGATCTACTCTGTAATTATTTTTAAATAATACATTTCAACCATTATTTTTTCCTATTCTTTTTGCCATTCATTAAAATCTTTCATTTAGGTACCAGAATAAACATAGAAACAGCTTTTCTAAAAATTGAAGCTGATATTTTAAGGAAGAGCTATATAACTTGTCATGTTTTCAATTTTAAAATGATTTATTGAAACAAAGTATTGGGAATTAAAAACCCACGGGCACCAAATAGGCTGTCTAGTCTTTGTATAATGGAATGTAACTAGTAAAAGTTCTGCACATCTCTAAATCAGGAGGAAAATCAGTATGTCGCATCAGGTATGGTAGACAGTATTCATGTAAGGGCTCAGGTATGATTTTGGAAAGTGTATTAGTCAATCTCCTCACTTTTAAAATTTTATTTTATTTAAAATTTTATTTTATTAAAATTTGTCATTCTCTTAGAGACAATCTTATTCTATTAAAATTTTAATTTTATTTAAATTTTTTATTAAATTTTAATTTTATTGATTTAAAGTATACAGTATATTCACATTCATCATTGAAAATTTGCACTTTTACATAATCCATCTTGGTTCTTATTTTTTCCCCATTCCTCTGTCCTCCAACCCCTCCACCCCTCCCTATCTACAAAGACTTTGTTTCCATTTTTTATTTTTTTCTTATTAATTCCATTCCCTTCTCTCTTTTCCCTTACCCCTTCCACTTCCACTTCCCCTTTGAGCGCTTTCTTCCTATCTCACGTTATCTATTATACATTTTAGTCTTTCACTTTCAGTTTCTCACCCTAGAGGAACTATTCAGTATTTGCATGTGTGTCCTATTTATTTCAATTGAGTATAGCCTCAATGTGCATCCATTTAGCTATAACTGTTTCTAGTTTCTTATTATTTATAGTTGAGTGGTACTCCATTTTATATATATACATTTAAAAATTTTTTCTTTATCCAGTTGATGGGCGAGTTTTAGCTATTACAAATTGTGCTGCTATGAACATGGGTACACATATTTCACTGTAGTATGATTCTTTTAATCCTTTGGGGAAGATATCCAGCAGGGGAATGGCTAGGTCAAATGAGACTTTCAATCCTAGTTCTTTGCGTTATCTCCATACTGATTCCCACAGTGGTTGAACCAGTCTACACTCCCACCAGCAGTGGAGCAGGGTTCCTCTTTCTCCACTGCCCTGCCAACATTTGTTATTGGTTGATTTCATGACAGCAGCCATTCTTTCTGGGATGGTGGAATCTCAGCATTGTTTTCATTTGCATCTCTGGAATGACCAGTGATGTTGAACATTTTTTCATATTGCTTTTTGCTATTTCTACTTCTTTATCTGAGAAATGTCTGTTCATTTCAGATACCCATGTTTGGATTGGTTCTTTAAATTTGGGAGGTCTGATTTTTTAAACTTCTTTATATATTCTAAATAGTGAATAGATCTATGTCTGAAGAATAGCTGGTGAAAAGTTTTCCCCACATTGTGGGTTGTCTCTTCACACTGTTGGTGGTTTTTCTTGCTGTACTGAAGCGTTTTAATAAGAAGACATCCTACTTGTTGATTGTGCTAGTTTAACAGTGAAAAATGTAATTAGGTATGCTCTAATGTTTAAGAAGTCTAATGGTGGTGCCTCATTGCTATAAATTGTAATAAGTATAATACTGAATTTAATTATTATCAATTTTTCTCTTGGATGGAAAATTTTCAAGATACTTTAAAAAGAATTTTCTGACGATGCTGATAAAATACTGCTAAACTAAGACAAAATAATATCATTTTCATTATAAAGACGCTAAAACCCAGCAAAATTTATTAATATTCTTCCAAGTCATATAACCTTTAAATGATAAAGATGGGAATCAGCTTAGTTAGTGATCAGTTTCCAGGGTCTATTTTACTGGAAGATGTAGAACTCTATGTGAAGTGGAAAACATTTAGTATGGGTAGAATTTATTACTTTCATTGCTTTACAAGTAAGGATGACAGTGTGGTGGAGTGGAAAGGAATGAACTGACAGTACACAGTTGGTAGACAGATTCAATCTAATAATAAAACAACATGGAGATTATGTAAAACAAATAAAATATTCTTATAATTACAGTATTTTATGTTTATCCTAGGAAGCAAAAAAGCAAACTTACAATTGTTGATCTAGAGTACATGTTAGAAATGGATAGCAATGAATTAATACATACTTAATGACCTAATATATATATATATGAAATTCCTGCTTAGGAGAACTATTTTCATTAATCAGGAAATTTAGTTAGTTATTTCCTTTTAATGAGTATTTTCCTTTTAATAAGTGCAACAATATACAGTGCCAAAATGTGAGAAAATTGTAATTTTATCACTGAAAGTTGTGTTTCCCTGTATCTACTATGTTGTCAAAATTTTAGATATATGAGGTTGATTTTAACTTGTCTTTAATTAAAATTAAAAATTTTAATTAAAGTTGGATCATAATAAATACAATTTTATTTAAAAAGGCATCATATTGCATAACTAACCATTTGTAACTACTGAAGTGGGACATTTTTTGACTCATTTCCCCCTTAAGATTTTATGTCATTTTTCTATGAAAGCATAAGATTTAAATAAAGATCAAAATAGGTAATCACTACCTCAAAACACTGCTAATAAAGTATAATAGTAGTTCATCCCTATTTTTTGCACTAAGTAGTTATGGTTATACTAAGTCAATTTATCCTATGTAAGTGCAAGGCTTCTTTCCAGACTTTATAATACCAATCACAGCCTGGCCTCCTCAAAACTTGGTAATACTTCCAGTAATATTTAATTTACAGATAACAATAATCATACTTCTGATACATTCTAGTTGCATTTTTCTCTCTCTCAGAGTTGCATTTGGAAACTGCAATGGGTTGGCAGTGGTGGATTTTATACAGAAGACAGTACTGTTAAGCATGGGGACTGTTGATCTGTATAGATCAAGTGACTTATACCAGCGACAGCCACGGTCTCCTAGAAAGAACAAGCAGTTCATTGCAGGTAGGAGACAAAACAAGATGGGTTATGAACTTGATTTGTTCATCTGTTTTCATTTTCAGATTTGTCATTCTTTTGTTCATGATATTCAAATGCATGGTAATATAAACTCAACATTTATAATACCATGTAAGTAAAATAAATTGGGCAGAAACAAAGCCGAATCTTTGAAAGAACAAGGAGGTATTTTTAAAAGTCAATTTGGTGGGCTGAGGATTTGGCTCAGTGGTTCTATTTCCTGCCTCACAAGCCCAAGGACCCGAGTTCAATCCCCAGTACCAAAAAAAAAAAAAAAAGTTAATTTGGTGTTGAAGTTAGGAACATCTGAAGTTTAAATTGAATTTCTAAGAAATAACATAAAATAAGAGATTATTAAATATAAAAATACCTCTAGAATTAGTGTTCTGTGGTTGAAAAAGCTGTTTACAACTTTCTTGTTATAAATCTGGCCCATTTTAAAAGATAATTTAAGGCCATTTACTACTTTTAATTTTACAAATAACTACATATTATAACTGTCACCTATTCTTAATGGATGATAATTTTATTGGAAATGTTTTTGGAAATTCAGTAAATATTAATAATCTTTTTACATGCTGTGAAAACCGGGCATAGTGGTGCACACCCATAATCCTAGTGCTTGGGAAGTTGAGGCAGGAAGATTGCCTCGAGTTCTAGGCCAGCCTGGGCAACATAGTGAGTTGAAAGCCAGCCTAAACTACGTAGTGAGACCTTGTCTCAAAAAATAAAAAAAAATGGAGCAGGGATTTAACTCAGTGGCTCTGCGCCTGCCTTACAAGGTCCTGAGTTTGATCCCTGGTACCAGTTAAAAAAAAAAAAAAAAAATGAAAGATAGCATTTTTGATAGGACAATTAAATTTAACCATAAAAGGAAAGAAACAAGTTAATTAGGGTGTAATGCTAAATTATCAAAAATTTACTAGACTTTCAATATATAATCTCCATAATTTACTTCATAAACATTGCCAAAATTTTATGTATTTTTTTGATTCGCTGATATAGTTGGTAAAAATTAGGCAAAAGCTTTGCAGATGAAAATGATTCTATAGTAATATGTGGTATTTTAGACAATTTTTAAATTAAATTTTTAAATTTCTTGACACTGTTTTGTTTCAAACAATCAACAGGAAATATAGGTCTTTTTACTGAACATACCCATTAAAAATACTTTATAATAAAAATTAAAATCTTACATGGTGGTAGTTCTTATTCTCCAAATTGCAGTTATGCCAAATTTAACATTTGAATGTGATAGTAAGTGAATTTTTCTTTTTAACTAATAACATTTGACACAATTGAAATTTTTCTTTACTAACACTTCTTTTGTTAACTCTTATACTTTAAAATTGCTAGTTTAGACCTTCTCAGGGGCACAATATTTCTCCTATAGAACCTGAGGGCTTTTTTTATACAAAGATCTCAACTTTTATCAATATTTTAGGAGAACTACAGATTTAAAAATCTACAGGCTCTATTTCCACCAATACTAGCTTTTGAAAGAGCAAAATAAGAGAAATTGTGCATAAATGTACGTAAGGTTCTTCATGATTGGAAAAAGAAGGTTGATTTTTGAAATTTCACAGTTTTTAGGGTAGGAAGATATCAAAGGGTAGTATAGCACCATTTGCAATGCTGAAAACACCAATTCAATCAAAAAAGTTTTGGATCATCTGACATCTTCAAAGTTACTTGCTGAATATATACAGTATGGTGAAAGTGAACATTTTTTCATAGAAAAATGAATGTAAACCTATTAAATCTCATAAACTAGGACTATAGTTTAGAATTTTGATGACTTTAAAGCTAAAGAATCTCATATACTCATAAACTTGGTCTGTATTGCATGACTACAATGAGTACTCACTGAATATTGTAAAGTAATAAACTAAAATCCGTCAGCATTCTTTTTAATTGCTGGAGGATTAAAGACAATCCTTTGTATATTAATGAAGTAATTTCTACATATTACAAGCCAACTAAGTGCATTATGTAAAAACATATATGAAAAACATGCCATCATTTTCTATATTTGATTAAATAAAATTGCTATAGCATTTTCATCATTTATCACTTATTTTGAATTGATTTTTTTTTCAATATCTCCTTTCTAATTTAACTACCTAATCTTGCTGCAATTTCTTCATCTTGGCTGTTCTAGATTATGGTATGATATCACTTCCTTTCACTTTAGACTATTTTTCTCTCTTTCCTCTGCCTGCTGCTGATGCTGGGGTTCTGGCATGTTCCAAAGACAACTTTTGCATGCGTGGCCTGTCTAACTTTTATCCTGATTTAACGAAACGGATCCGTACTTCCTATCAGAGTAAGTTCTATAAAGGTTAGGCAAATAGCATTTTGGAGTTGTAATGCTTGACTTAAATTCATATATCTATGCTCAGTAATGTGTTTTTTTGAAAACACATTCAGTATGCATGCAAATTTTTGTTTTGTTATGAAAATGCAACCTGATAATTTTAAAATAAATTATTATATATGCATTTTAAATCATTATTGTCATGTACTCGTTTCACTCATACTCTGTTTCATTGTTTATTTCAAACCATGCAGACTAGTCCTTTCAGTAAAAAAATCAGTATCATTTGTCTTGAGGGCTAAAAGGTATGGTGTCTTTGTTTTTTAAAAAAACTGATAAACCATAATGATAATAACTTAATGATTTCTTATTTTGGAAACCTTGTGCTTTTGGCCACTTTATAACATTTTTGTAACCAGTGCCATAATATTTTTTAACTAACTTCCTAATTTCAGATGCTTTTATTAAAAGGCAATACCCAAGTCTACATTCCTGTTAAATACCAAATTCTATAAATAGAGAAACTGAAGTCACAAATAAAATGCTGAATAACATTAACATTCCCTATGGTAGCAAATGCATATATAAAGATGACTGTAGTAACCAATTCTAAAAACAGTGCAGAAAATATGAGAAGTAAAGTTGTTTATGATTAGAGGTACAGATCATACTAATTACATAGGTAAAATATATTGACATGAAAAACATTTACATTATGTTAACATATTATGTAGAAAATTATGTGGTCTACAAATATATATACAAGATGGGCCTTATCTTTTTATAAAATGTGCATACATAATATACATTGTTCACATATGTACATTCACACATGTATTTTGTTTGTAACCTGAATTTTTTCAGACCTCACCAGTTTGTAGATACTAATGGAATTACATCAGTTCTAAAATCTAAGATTTAACTGCCTCATTTAAGTTCCTTTCTGAAATCCTTAAAATTTTTCCTTTAATGCCCAATAATATTTTTGCTCACAAATATTGTCTAGCAATGAACCCATTTGTGGGTATATCCTGCATCTGTTTCTGGTGCCTTAAGTGAGAACCCTGATACGTATCTTGCCTTCTGCTACTCCTAAAACAGAAAGATTAGATTCTTTGATATGTCTTGGTGCTTGAAAGTTATGTAAATTTTAGTTTTCATAATAAAGTTTTATTGGAACACAGCCACATTCAAAATTCATTTGCATGTTTTCAATGTCTACTTTCATACTGCAATGGCAGAGTTAAGTAGTTGCAACAAAAACCACATAACACAAAAGCTTAAAGTATTTCTTATGCTGTTCTTCACATTAAATAATTTGCTGACACCTGTCCTATACAGTGCCATTCTTTAACACCCATCTTCTACTATTACATAAAGGATTACAGCCAAAATCTTAATTGTAAATAGTTTCCAGAATTTTTGAATCCTGCTTAGACCTCTGAAGCTAGAATCCCTCTGTTGTGTGGGTATGTGCACTTATACACAATGAAGTAGAAGACTTTCCAGAATGTAAGATTGGATTTTACAAATTTCTTCTTTTACCTTTACTATATATTCTAATTTTCTATAGTAAATATGAAGTGCTTTTCAGGTAAAAAGGGAAATTATGAACTGAGGATAAAGAACAAAAGCAGGCTCTTAGTTCATGAGAATTCTACAGTACTGGCCATGTTACAAGGTTAAACAAGTTTTGAGTAATGATCAATAATTTTTTATTCCCTTCAAAATAAAATATCAAAGCTTTCAAACCTTCATTCAGGATCCTCCAAAATATAATTCCTGTCTACATCTTCAAGTGGATTTTTAACTTTTCTATAAAATAAGCTCTATTTAAGCCAACTGTTTGTATCTTATTACCCTTATGATTTATTCGTACCATCTCCTTTCTGGAAATGCCCTGCTGAAAGTTGACTTTGTACTGCCATCCAGAGCCCTGCTTTGCCAGTTTATTTGCTCATTGTGTGCAGTTGCTGCAGTGTACAGACATGTAATGTTTTGATTCATTTGTGTGGCTACTTATTTTTATGTTTATTCTCTACCTTTATAATAAATGCATGACAAGAATTTAAAGACTATATCAGTTAAATATTTTAAATTTTAGTATAAAAATTAATAGTAAAAAAAATATCTTTGTATCTTCTACATCCAGCACAAGTTATGAGCCCAGTAGATAAATGATGATGGTAGAATAGAGCATGGTAGCAGGCTTTTATCTCTTCCATGAACAGCCAGGGAAATTTTCAAATTTGATAAATGAAAACTAATTTCTGTCATCACTGAGTTCCTAAAATTTTGCAAAACCAGTCATAATTTCTTCTAACTACAGTTCTAAAATGTGAAGACAGAAGTAAAAATCAAGTCCTTCTAAGGATCCTCCTTGTCTCTACCAGTGATTTTCATAAAGACCAAATAAGTCTTCATATTGGAAATAACATGTCCTGAAGTTTCCTTTTGATGATTAGCATTGTATGTTATGCAAATAAACTAATTATTAAATGACTAAAATTATATTCTAGAGTTTACTTTTTAAAATAAATTTTAATAAAATTTTGATTAAAATGTAACTATTGCTAATATCTGGTTATATTTGTATAATCTCATATTAGTATAAAAGAGACTATGCATTGTTTTCATGCATTGCTTCTTGTCAGAAAAACCTACTTACTATTCCTGTTGGAGAGACAGAACTAGCTTCTGTTAAGGGTCCATTCTGTTCTGAGATTGTGCTAGGCAATTTGACTAATGTCCTATAATTTAATGATTATTATAATCTTTTGAGATAGATGTTTGCTAGTTGAATCCTCTACATATTAGAAAATTAATGTTGAAAAAGATTAGTGTCTTAAAATGAGAAACTAATTTTTGTCTTACATTAGTGAACCTCTATAGTGTCTACGGTATGATCCTGTCTCTGCCTTTTAAAGATTGTGTACATTGGAAATGAAATCTATTATTCTATAATCTGAAAGCACTTTTACCCAGTGTTTACCCACTATCTATGAAGTAACATTTAAAAATTAAGCAATTTGTTTTTCTCATATTTTAAATGAATGTACTAAACAAAGTACTCTCTGAAGGTCCCTTAAATGTCTAAACATTTTTATATTTTATTTTACCCTGTTATATCAGTTTTGCTTTTTAAAATGATATCACATCCTATCTGGGACCTAATACTTTTACAGTGTGGAGAAACATCTTGATTTCAGTCTTCCTGGACTTTTTACAGGTTACTTTATCATCTTGGCTAGGCTCTAATAAGTCACATTCCCTAAACCATTTAATTCTCATCTGCAAATCTTTCACATCATAAAATAATGAAATTGTATAGCTGAAATGAAATTTTCATATTTTACAAATTATTTTTAGAAGCAATGAATGCTTTCTGAAGACATAGCACTTGTGGTGAGAAGACTTAGATCAAATTTTACTTTTGCTACTTATTAGCTACCTATTAATGTATAATCTTAAGGAAGAAACATAACTCACTCTGACATTTTTCTTCCCATACAAGATAAAATAAAAATGATAATCCCTTTGAGTGTTGTGGAACTTTGGGTTAATGTTTATAAAAGTTCTTCTATAAATATTAGATGTTTATTATTATATATAATAAAGGAACAGAAAGATTAAATAACTTAATTTTCCTACCATCATAAACAGTGTACCAAAAACGACTAAAAAGTCAGTTGCCTCAATGAGTACTGATTTACTCATGATAGTGACAGAAATTTTGCTAGTTAAGAACTAATCATATATCATTTGAGTTAAAGGAAGTTTGAAAAGTATTTTTAAGATAGCATTTTTAAGACAGAAAAAATTTGCTTGTATATCAATTTCTATTTATGCAAGAAGGAATTCTTTGAAGAACCTCAAGCCCATCTGTGTATATTTTCTTTCTTTCACTGAAATTTTTTTTTTCAATTTAAGGAAAGATAGTATGTCCTAAAAAGACAAAAATAAAATAAAATAAAGAAGAAATGATAGAAAAGAGAAAAATAAGATCTAATAGAGGAGGCAAATAAATATTTTCAAATGACTAGAGATAGTCCAAAATTGTAGAAAATAAAACAAAGACTTAAGAAAAGGAATATCTTAAGGGGAACAAAAGCAAAATATACTAAACCATAAATAGAGGAAAAACTTGAAAAACTATTTATTGAACAACTACTAGGTCATTTTTATCTAGGCATTGAGCACACAATTGTGAGTGAAGCAACTACAGCCTTTTCTTCCATTTGTCATAGGCGGTATGCATTTTAATCTTTTGATATACTGTTATAACTGGAAAACATTAGTGCTGTGATAGAGAAAAGGAGAAAAGAAGGTAAAGTTAGACCTATTTTTCAGTGTTGCCAGGAAAAAGCCTATCTACAGAGAAAACACTTAAGGGAAACTTTGCAAGATAAGAAAAAACTAGTCAACAGGACAGAGTAATAGGTACCAGATTTCATCTATCTGCAACAACCAAAAATAAATAAATAAATAAAAAAGACAACATTTTTTGAGACATAAGACCTAAACCAATTTTTAAAAATTACATGTGACAGAAACAACAGCAATGAGCCCTACAATCAACTAACCTATGTATTGAAACAATTGCTAGACTATAGCAAGGGAGGGGAAACCTAGGTGGAAACTGGTCATCTGGCTGACCTAGACAATGGGATGTGAGAAACCTGGGAAGCCAAAGCAGCTACAACTGGGAAAGAATGCTAGTGATTTATAGATTTTATTCACAAAGAAAGAATTCTAGCAGTCTGCAGTGCTTAGTCCTCAAGCACATATATCCAAAGAAGCTACCAGGATCAGGTAAAGAACCAAGTGGAAAAATTAAAGGAAATAATGCCTAGTACTCTAAAGAAATAGTGCCTGTCCCCACCAGTCAGACTAGAAGATATTTATAACTCACATCTAACTCTATTGAAAATTTTATGATGCTTGCCAGTCCGGTAAAAAAAGAAATAAATTTACTCAGACTGTTAAGGAAGAATTTAAATAGTTTAATA